ACTCAGTTTCAAATGAGTAATGAAAAGCATACCTTGTTGTGGGGTTTGGGCTAAGGTTGGAAGAGGAAGATGTTGTAAGCAAAACTAATCTTGTTAACACCTTGTTAAGGCAATTTGACGAGGTGACTCTGCCCTGGATTCCTATTGGGAGATTGCCTGAAGTGAGATCGACATATTTGTTGGACTAGTTGATTCGTTCATTTTCTTTCTTTTCAACTGAATTTCGTAAAGTCTCAAACTTTCCATTACGTGGTGGTAAAGAATGTCAAAAGTGCTGCCATGATATACGAACACCATTTCTTCATTAATGTTTTTAATCTATTGTGTGAACTAGTAAATTATCCTAACGTGTTGAGACCTTAAACATCCCGATCTCTTGTGCTTAGATTGTTTAAATGATGATATACTTAACGGGCTACGGACTGACATAATTACGTTCGTTTTTGCAGATTGGAGTTCTGAGGTTTGGAGATGGGCAATTAATCATTTAGCAAAGGGTGAGAAGACCCTGTATTGTATACTCAAATCAGTTGTATCTGAAACACAAATCAAATGTACAAAAAAAAAAAAATCAGTTCTTTTTTATATAATTCCGTGGATTTTTGTTTTTTTGGTCTTTCTTTATTCGATTACACTTAAAATTTCATATTCAACTAATGAAAAGGGAAAAACACTAGTTACATTACAATATTCAATTGATGAAATATTAGTATACTCATCTCTTGAGATGGCCTTAATAACATTATGTTAAAAGTTAAAACATTCTTCTAAAATGGAAAAAACAATTATAAATCACCTGAAAACGTGCAAGAAATAAAAGCATAAGTTGATATCAAGGATTACGCTGCGTCCCGTCATAAGATATTATCTGTTAACAATCTGACCGTAAGGTATTATCCGTTAACAGAGCCCTAAGCAGAAAGCTCCATTGCTATTCTTTTGCTCTAGGGTAGTTTTGAGCTCAATGAGAATCTCCACCTGTTTCTTCAGGGGACTCCCCTACTTTTGTTTTGTTAAAACAGAATTTAGTAAATGCATGCCTTTATTCACATCTTATATACTTATATGTCAGGTAAATTGACTGCTAATTGCTTAACACTAATATGAATGCTCTGAATTTATCACTTTCTTGGACTCTTTTGCTTCAAGAGATGAAAGTTTCAAACTCAATTAATTCTTAGTAGGGGATGCTCTGTTACTCTCTAACTGCCATGGAAACAACACATTAAATGAAGTGATATCTGTCTCTATCTTGCTTATTGTTATGTGCGTCATAGATGTACCGTAAACTCAACAACTTAAGGCTGTCCCTAAGCATGGCCTTCTTAATTGTTGCTTCTATTTACAGGTTAATTCTGAGGTGTAGTTCTTAGCTTGAGGTGGTCAATTTCTTGTTTTGAATTCTGCTTTGTTTGGTCTGAGAATTGAGTCTTCGTTTTTCTTAGACAGCCAAATCAGAATGAAGAATCCTTGTTGGATGGATAGGATTGCCTTATCACTAATCAGCATCATTTTGTATACAATCTCTTTATATTTCTAAGAGTTTATCGTTTTATTATCTGAACTATATCAAATTGCAAAACAATAACTATCATTAAAAAAGGGATAACTCTAATAATAATGAACTACTTATATTCAATAATTTATGTTATATAATTTGAATTTGGACTTTATAACACTTTTTTGTTTCTAATAACAAAAGATGTTTTCCCTAAAAAAATAGAAATGATGCAATCTGATCTGGCAACATATGCAATACAAATTCAGTTAAAGCAAGAGGAAGTCGATGATGACATAAATAGATTCAGTTAAGTTTGGTTTTTTTTTTTTATCTGTTTTGCATTTTGTAACACAAACTGATGCGGGACAGGTTAGCATTTTCAATACCTGGCAGAAAGTCCAGTGCTCCAAGAAACCAAGCCATGGCAATTGCATGATCATTGAACCTAGTTTTTTACGCCTCTGTTCTGGAAAGTATAACACGTAATCTGTCTGGAATTCTTAGCAACTTTTTCCATACAGGTAATCAAAGATGAAGAATGACATTAAAGAATGTATCACCAATCTTCAATGAGACAAGGCAAGCAACTACATGAGATACACATGGAAACAACAAATACATGTACGCAACCTTCCAACCTAGCTGCCATAGAAATAAAATCGACTGTTTTTCTTACACATTCTATCCCCTACAAGTATAATTCAAGTACATATCAGATCGAAAAGTGTTAAAACCTTTACCTATACATCGGAGTGTTCTTGAGTAATCTTTCAAACATTTTATCAGATTTTGATGAAATTGTTTGAAATCTTATCTCATTTAGTGTTAGAAAAAAAATGAAAAATTTCAGTTGAATTCAAATACCAATTTCTTAATCTCACTTACCTGTTGAAAAATCAAGACAAAGGCAAAGAAGACAAAATTAAAAATGAAAAGAAAAGACAAAATCCAACATTAACTGCAATTCTTATAACTATTAATAAAGCAGCATCCACTTCTTCTAAATAAATTAGGCAAACAGCCAATTTGAAAGGTCAAAAACAGCATACGCAAAAATCATACTGCAACTGCGACAATACAATACAATCCATCACGTGGCATTCAAGCATTGGCTGTCTTTGGTTGTTAAGCAACGTTACTTTCAGCCCCACTTCTTCTTTCTCCTCTCCTGTTCTTTCCTGGGATCTGTTCTCAATTCTCATTTTATATACCCAGGTAAGGTCCCTCTGGTTAAACTTTCAAATATTAAAGTTTTCAACTTTGGAGGTTTAGATCTTCCGCTTTAAAACACAGCACGGGATGCAATAACATAGGAAGAAAGAAAGAGGAGGAAACGTTGCCTTTGAGAAAATGCCATCCCAAGTCTTGCCCGTATCCAATCGGTTACAGTCCTCCGCCATGGGGCCAACGTCCTCTGCATCTGTAGCCACAATGCTGCTTAAAGCTGAGATTCAGGATGATCCATCAACGAGTATCATCATTTCTTCCCAATTTGAGGATGAAAAGGCCGTGACCATACGTCCTCTTCTCACTAGAGCTTCTAGTTACAATAACACAATCGCTAACAACACGAGTGTTGGCCCCAGCAATCAGCAGAGGAGGCGCCGGATCGCCAGCGACAGCTCGCTTGCTTTGCTGGCTGATGACAGTCCCCGAGGATCTTTTAGACAGGATGTGGGGCACGCGGCAGCGGAGACTTTCTTGGTGACTCGGTTGAGCTTGAAGCTATTAAGATATCTTGGGTACCCATCTCATCCCAGACTATTTTTTCCATACTATTCTGTTCTATTTGTGTGTTTGATGAATGGGTTGTTAGTATTATGCATTTTTGTTTCCTAAATTGCTCCTTTGTTCCTTGGCTACTTATGTTGGGAAACGTTTGGGATGCAAAATGGATTTTGTTTGTTGTGTTTGATCTATTTTCCTTTTTAATTTGGATGGCTCTTTCTGGTTCTCATCGGTTATTGTTTCTGGTACTAAACTACTGATGTTGGCAATTGAATCTAGTGAATAGAAAAATGATGTCTTCAATCCGTGGCAATTGAATGAATAGTCGTCCATTGTGAATTATAGTTGGCTGACAATAGAAATCTGTTGAAATGTAGAAGGGAATGTAAAAAGAAAATATATGGATTCACTAAGCAGATATAATGTATTTAACAAAATTAAAAAGATTCAGCGAATAGAAAGAGAAGAGAGGTGATATAATGTGTGTCTTTATATTTTCTTAAGAGTCACCTAGGAGACGTCCTAGTAGTTAAGAGCTTGAATCTCTATGTTGAAGATCTTAAGTTTGAATCCTCGGATGGGTGTGGAGAGGTTTGGGAAGGGGAGGGCTATCCCTTGTTGTATAGCCCATCATTAGATGTTTTCTTAGTAACTTGGAATGTTTTAGTTATATATTTCTGCCTTTTCTTCTTTTTTAATTTTAAATCCTCTCTGATATCTATCTCAATTAACCATGGTATGTGCCCTGATCATTGATATTCAGGGTAGGCTACAGATGGATCATGAGATTTCTTGCTCTTGGTTGTTATGCATTCCTACTAATGCCAGGTTTTATTCAAGGTCTGTGACACGAAGTTGATTCTTTCAATTAAATTAATGGTTTTTTTTTTTTTTTTTTTGGTATGTGGAGTAGTGATGGTTCACTGAATTGATTGAATGGCCCTAGGCCTACTAAACCCATTAGATCTGGGGTAAGCAATAGTATAATGCCATCTGGCGTTGCTTACTGCAGATGGTGATGCTAAAGGTAAAAAACTGGTTTCTCTTTTGCAGTTGGATATTACTACTTCTTCTCCCATCAAGTCCGCAGAAGTATAGTATATGGTGATCAACCAAGAAATAGGTAAATTTTGAAGTGTTGATCCATTCTTGTGAATTTATTTGCCACAAATATGGATGTATGTTTTATTCTATGGAACTTCTAGCATATGAATAACCAAACTTATGTTTGCAGGCTAGATCTTTATCTACCCAAGAACTTTGATGGGCCAAAACCAGTAGTTGCATTTGTAACTGGAGGAGCCTGGATTATAGGGTTAGTAATTTGTTGTATATTGGTATTTCACATTTTTACAAGTATCAAGAAGTCTTGAGATATTGCCTTTTAAGTTTGGCAGACCATAGAATGCAGAAATTTGTTCCCACATGCAGAGAAGGAGAAAACTATAGTAGAAGACTGTGTCGAATATTTATTACCTTTATCCTTGTCATCTATGTCTGCTAATATATCTCTGATTCCTCTGAAGTTTTTTTCTTGATGCAGTTATAAAGCATGGGGTTCACTTTTAGGACAACAGTTGTCAGAGAGGGACATTATAGTGGCGTGCATCGATTACAGGTGAAATATTTCTCTTGAGCAGTGACATAGTGTTGCATGGAATTGACCTAACTTTGCTGAATCAAAAAATAAAGTGCTAATCTGAATGATGCTCTTTGGTGAATATATTGTACCTTGATTTCCTGACTGCTACCTTATATAACATGCTAATGAGATTATATCTATGTCCTAATTACAGTTATAACCTTTTCTGTGAAATTTGACCTGATTGAAATGTCATCTCTAATTACCACTTGACTTTTATAATATCTGCTATTATTGTTACTTGAGAGATAGAATGTGGCTGAAGTTTGATGCAATTTTCACGTGATTTCCAAACACCCTGGACAGGCTTCATTTTCTACCCTCTTCATGAGAGGAGGATTATCCTTATCTTTTAATACAATTATGATCTCCATATTGTCTTCATCAATATGGATAAATTACGTATGTGCTTTTAATGAATGGCTTTGAAGTACATAAGTGTTCATTAACCTTATATAAGTCCCCATAAGTGTAAATTTTAATGTCACATATCTGATTCCACAACGTCATGGATGGTATGAGAATGAGAACCTCCTTGATGACATCAGTACCATTCCTTATGGTGGTTAGCTTGTCTTTAATTGTTATGCTTCAAACATGAAACTTAATTGCTTTTCATGATTGTTATCTGCATGCAGAAACTTTCCTCAGGGCACCATGAGTGACATGGTGAGGGATGCTTCTCAGGGTATCTCCTTTGTATGCAGCAAGATAGCTGAATATGGAGGAGATCCTAACAGGTGAGGGATGTTACACTTTCCAATTAAATTTTTGTATTACATATTTCAGTGAGATAACATTCTGTTCATGCCTGCTTGGCACAGGATTTATCTTATGGGACAGTCAGCTGGTGCACATATTGCTGCTTGCACACTTGTGGAGCAGGCAATCAAAGAGGCTGGTGAAGGAGAGAACATTTCTTGGAGTGTCTCTCAGATAAAGGCTTATTTTGGTTTGTCTGGAGGGTAAATGTCTTAAAAACTTTACCTTGAGACACCCAACAACTTGTTCTGTGCTGCACTTAAGCTTGTAGCGCAGTTCATAAAGTGCACGTTCCCTCTCCTGCACTGCTGAGTCTGAATCCCCCTTCCCCATTCTACAAAATGAAAAATAAAAATATAAAAAACTTGATCCATACTTTCTTTTTCTTTAGTTTCAAGCTGATCTCATAATTTAAAATGGATACTGAAGTTTAAGATTAAGGGACCTGACTATTAGGAGCCAATTAGGTGATAAATTGATCGTTTTTTGTTAAAAGAACTCCCAGCGAGCTTGCATAGAAAATTTCAAATTCAGACTTTCCTGGTCGAACGCATGTAGAATAATTATCTTCTAAAGGAATACAAAAGATCTGTTTTTGGAACCTAAGCATTTAGTTGTAATTTGGGGCCCTTGAGTGGATAGAGTTTGCTAATGCTTTTTCTTCTTTTGCCCCTTCTCTTTTATTTAACCTTCCTTCTTGTTGGTACTTTGGTTTTGTTAGACAGGTTTCAGCTTTTGCTTTACTAATTTTACTCTATCTGGAATTAATGCCATTACTAGTTGGAATAAAACATTTGATAAGACAACCCTATGCACTATATGCATGGATATATTGTGCATGATAGCTAAGAGTTTTTCCTTAAAAATTATTATTATTAATTCTTTTTTTGTTATTCTGTGAATCTCCTGCTCATTTATATATTAACATCCACAAACAGGTACAATCTTCTTAACCTTGTAGATCACTTTCATAGCAGGGGTTTATATCGTAAAATTTTTTTGAGGTATGTACTCCCTTTTACCTTTTAGTTGTATACATGAAACTCTACTTTGTTTCCAAGTCCTGTTAGTCTCTCTTTTTTAGTTATGGGCCTTTCTTTTCAATTTTCATACAGCATAATGGAAGGGGAAGAATCTCTGCGGCGATTTTCTCCTGAAGTAATGGTACAGGATGCAAACATTAGACGTGCTGTTTCTCTCCTTCCTCCTATTATTCTTTTTCATGGCATTGCAGATTATTCCATTCCATCAGATTCCAGGTTTGAATTTCTTCTGTGATGATGGCACATGCATATGAATTAGAGCTGCTTAAACATTGAAGCTATGGTTATAATGAACTTTAACAGGAACAATCCTATGTTTGAGAAAGTATCGGTTCATCAGAGATTAGCCTAGTTGCTAAATCTAAAAAGAGCCATTGTCTAGCACAATGGCAAAACTTATAGCCGGACAAATAAGAGGAGAAACAAACACAATTGAGTGATGAACCTTTGTTTTGAAACTAAACAATACATTTATTGGACTAAATGACTTTAATTTTCATTTTTCTTTCTATTTTGTGCTTCTAAACAGTCTATTGTAACTGATTTAGTCCTCCCCAGAAATCATAAATTGCTATAAGAACTTGTTTTTTGGAGCCATGAAATTATGTTGCATAAGGCTAGTAATGCAAAAAGAGGTTGTGAAATGGATTAGTGTAAAGTAAGGGAACCTTAACCTGCTCTAGCGTCTCTGCATGTTTTACATTGTTTATACCATATTCTTTTTTGGAACTTGATGGTAATGGAGATAAAATGTTGCATCCATTGTAGAATGGTGAGGAGTACTGTTATCCATTCCTTTTATTTCCCTCTTTAACCAAAGAAATCAAATTATAAATGTCTGAGCTACTGCTAGTGGAAGAACATGGATTCCATTTTGTATATCTAGATGCTTTGAGAGAAGTTCCAATTATGAATCTACATTGCAACTGAGTTTCGATATATATGTTTCATGATTTATTCATTAAATGACATGTACTTGACTAGTTCATGCTCATTGCTCATTGTTGGTGTCATACCGGTGCTTGCTTGTGCCATAACCCACCCAGATTTTCTAAGTTCCTTTTATGGGTTATTTTTTAATACGTGTTGCATGCAGTAAATCTTTTGCAGAGACTCTGAGAAGACTTGGGGGCGAATCAAAAGCGATATTATATGAAGGAAAGACTCATACAGATTTGTTTCTTCAGGTAATGGAACATTAAAACAACTCTCTTATATCTCTTAATCCAGTTTTTACTGCAAAGCAATGCCCAATATGCGTTGTATGTTCTGAAAACACATTACACAGGATCCCATGAGAGGTGGCAGAGACGAGATGTTTGAAGATGTAGTTGCCATCATTCATGCTGGTGATGATAATGCCCGAGCCAAGGATGCTGTGGCTCCTCGAAGAAGACGCCTTGTACCTGAATTCATGTTGAAGTTGGCTCGCAGTGTCAGCCCATTTTAGCCGCTGGTCACACAACTATGAACCCATATTTTAGTTAGTTACTGTAATATTTTTTGAGCAAATATTTTAGTTAATCAAATATATTCATGTATATATCAGAATCACAAATTTGTTCATTCCTTATTTCCTATGAACACGTATGTTGATTTTTTTCTTTCAACTCTGTGGGTACATGACAATTCTCTGCCTTCTCATGTTCCTCTTCTCTGCATTATTTGGGGGCTGAATCCAAGCTTTTGAGGACTAAGAAATATAGCGTGAATCTCTTCATATAACTTTTGATTTGGAGAATATAATTTTGTATTTGTCATGACAAGATCCATACAAAAGCGGGTCTTCTCTATTATTATTATTTTCTTCTTTTTGAAGTAACAGAAAATTTTATTTATCAACAAGGTGTCATTTACACATTTTTAGAACAAAATTCATTTTTCCCATTAAAAAAATATATTCTTTTTTATTTTAATTTTTATACGTTGGAGTGTTCTTTTTCTTTTTCTCTTTTATTTTTTTATTTTTTAATTTTTGTGAGTTTGTTTAAACCAAAAGGAATCTATGAGACATACAATATGGGCGAATTTGTGGTTGAATTTCTGAGTGGATAGATGAATTTGTGGATTAATTTATAGGACGAATTTAAGAGGGAATGGACGTTGTGTGGAGATTGATGGATTTTCGAATTAATAGAAATGAATAGATTTGTGGATAAATTTATGTACATACAAATTTATGAATGGTTGTGAATCAATGGACAAAGAGATTTGTAGACTAAATATGCATACAAATTTATAAAGAATAATAGTGAATGAGATTAAAATTTGAAGCTAATGATATGATATAAATTTTGTTATTTAAAATATTAAAATGTATATCTTATATTATTTAATAATTACTTCTTTTATTTTTTTCGAGATCTATGATATTAAATACATCAACTAATTTAATAATATTATATAAATTATGTCAATGTCTCAAATTTTCATACCCCTTATCATTACTCATTTATAAATGAATGAATTTGTAGGAGGTTGTGGACATAATAGAATACTTTGTAGACAAATAGAATATTTTGTAAACAAATTTATGAATGGACCGATGGATAGTCGGATAGGCTTGTGGATAGTTAACATAAGGATTTTTGGATATGGATAATTATGCACAGATGGTCAAGTAGACAAATTTACGAGGGAACAAATTTATAAATAGACAGATACATATAGATTTGTGAATAGATTTATGAATAAATAGATTTACAAATAAATTTATAGATGGACAAAGCTGTTAGATGGATAGACGGACATATTTGTGGATTAATATGCGAACTCCTGGACAAGGACAAACAGACAAATGAATTTCTGGATGAGTATATATGAAACAAGATAGATTAGTGAAGTAATTTACGTACAATTGTAGACAAACAAAAGAATGAATTTATGAACAAACTTAAAGGCAAATGAATAAACTTATTTGTGAGCAAACATATGGATGAATAGATTTATAGATAGGCACTTTGATGGACGAACTGATATTTATAAATAGATTTTTAATAAATTTACGGACAAATGAATTTATGAATACTTGTAAATGAATAAATTTATAAACGAATTTATAAACGGACGAATGAATTCGTGGACAAATTAGCTAACATATTTGTGTGCATGGACGGACGGCAAGTCCCCATGTGGCACCCATAAGTTAATATAATAGTACAAGATGGAAGTAATAGTGAACAAGGAACTTTTTACTTAATGTCAATATCCATAAGCCAATATATATATGTTACAAGATGGCAAGTCCCCATGGCCACACGCATAAGTTAACAAACAAACAAAACACAGAGTGAAAAGAAAACCGAAAATGGACATATAAATTAAGGAAAGTTTATCTTATTTCTTTCCCCCTGCTTTTCCACCTTTCCCCTGAAAATTAATTCATCAAACCATTAGATTTGAAAATTAATAATAATAATAATAATAATAATCCATATCATGTTCATGTATATACCTGGATGTCATTATGATATTAGAAAGAAAACAAGTTATGAAATTAAATTGGCAAGCATGCAAGTCTTACCTTCTTCTTAGTTGGCTGAGGCTTTTCTGCAGCCTTCTTGCCCGCCGGCTTGGAAGAGGCAGATTTTGAGGAAGCATCAGCACCCTTTGCTGGCTCCTGATCTTTGCCCTGCCCAAAGAGCTGGGTGCCAATTGGTTTCTTGGCTTTCAAAGATGACATTTTTCTCTAGAAACTACTCTTTTCTGCAAAAAAGACACTAATTTGTTTGCTATATGTCTTCACCCATCAATGGCTCTATATATTGCAGAATTCTCTTCAGCTATGACAAGGGAACATAATCGGTGGGGTATGATTGTGGGGATGGTGGGGGTTGTAGAGAATGGAATAATTGACGATGCATGCATGTGGGGAGAGTACAAGTAGTGAATGAAGCAGCATCAGATGCTTAATTTGCTTAGAATATTTTTCAAGAATATAATAAATATTAAATCATAATTCTGAGCATATATCTTGTATCTTATATGCAAGAATATTTGTTTAATAATGATAAAAATTGCACCAATGATCTCATAGCTTGGGTAACTGGCTAGTTTGGTTGAAGGAATAATTGTTCTTTAATAAAAATAAAGCAAAATTAAAATCTTACACGTCAAGAATACATATGCATTAACTTTACTAGTTGAATTTACTATTAATTTAGTGTTTGATTCGCAAAACTAACATTTAAGTAAATTTACATTTTTAAATGCAGCAGCCCAAAATATAAATTTCCAAAGAAAGACGGTAGTCTTAGATAGAGGTGTTTATGGTGTGGTTTGATTTGAAATTTAATATTTTTTAAACCAATTTAATTTAATTGGTTAATAAAATTTTTAAACCAATCTAAACCACTATTATATGATGACTAAACCAATTCAACTTAAATCAGATCGGTATGATTCAGTCGGATTGATCAATTTTTATCATTATTAAATATATGAGATAATGTAAAAATATTTTAACATCAAATAAAAAACATAACTATAAAACACATTAACATCCAAATTAATAAAAACATAATAAAAGGTATAAATTATAAATAAGTTTTTATACTCTTTTACATTTGTAAAAATTGAAAAGCTCTGAAAATTTTTTTTAGTTATAGCACTAGAGGCACCAAGAACAATAAAAGATGATTTCAAGTTTCTAACACAACGTAAATAATTCTTAAAGATTAAAATAATTTTTTTTTTCTTAATACACTAATAATTTAATCACATCTTCTAAATCCTATTAAAAGTAAATAAAATTTAACATAAATATCACTAAAATTGGTTAGAAACATTCATAATCAAAATTTAAAACTTCTAAATCAAATATTCAATAATAGTAGAATATCAAGACTAGATTCATTATATTGTTTTAATACTTTTAGAATAATATTTTTTAAAAAAACTTAGTTAGAAAAATTATAATATTATTTTAGAAACAAATTAGAAATTTAAGATTTTAAGAGTAAAGGCGCAAACTAATTTTCATGAATAGAGTTACATGTGAATTATAAATTTAGAATTAGAGTTAGGGTGCATAATTAAAATGAAAAAATAATTTAAGGAATATGGACATGTTTTATTTTTATTTTAATGAAGTTATTATCTTGTAAAATTTAAAAAAAATTAAAATACTACAAAAAATTATATTATATTATTTAATTAAGTTATTTTATAATCAGATTTTATTTTGTAATCAAACAGTTCGAGTAATTTGAAGATAAAACCACAAACCAAACTAATTATATTAATTTTAAAATTTTATAATTAAAACCAACTCAATGTTATATTGATTTGGATCAATTTTTGATTAGATTAAATCAATTTAAGTCGGATCAATTGAATTGGATCGGATATAAACATCCTAATCTTAGACCATGTACAAATGGTTTTCTTTGATTAGTTTTTCGTAGGAGATAACAAGAGAGTTTTCCCCCACTTGAGTATTTTCTTAAATC